GTTGAATTAACAAAACATCCACTCCTTCATTATATGGCTCCTTCTGTCTTGGAAGATAATGGATGCGCCTTGATGAGTCACTGGTTTTGGTTTCGTCTTGAGACAGGGCAGAATATCGAGTGACTGATCAAGCCAATGCTGGAGGGACAGAGTTTGGTTTTCTATTTCATTCTCTTGACTGGTGCAGCTTCGTTTCTTTTGCTTTCGGGGATGCACAGTCTGTTTCCTGTGGTTCTCATGTCTTGCTTGCAGATATCTCTGTAGGTTAGTTTTGGGCGACCCTTGGGTCTGACTCCCTCCGCAATAGGATGTCTTTAGGGATTTTTACATTTGGCATATCTGAGCCAGTCTACTCTGTGTCAGAAGAGCATAGATGCTGTGCATATTGGCCTGTTACAAAACGTCCTGGTTGGAGACATGATCCTTCCAGGAGAAGGAAATTATGCAGCGCAGGCAGTTTAAGTGAAAGCTATTCAATCTGTATTCTTGACTCATGTAAGTCGCCCAACTCTTACTGCCATAAAGAAGTGTGCTCATAACACAGGCATTGTAGACCAGGATTTTGGTTGGCGTAGTCAATTTGGCATTTTCCCATTAGTGCTTGGAGAGATTTGCCATAGCTGCAGAAGCTTTTCCTATTCTTTTTGTCAGCTCAGTGTCTACATCGAGGTTGCTGGTTGCTGTTCCCAAGAAGGGGAATTCCTGCACCACAGTAAGCATGTGATGTCCAATCTGTATCGCTGGTATTTCTGCGACATCTTGTGCCAGGATTTTGGACTTGGAGAGTCTTATTGAAAGGCTAATTTCTTAACAAACAGTTGCCATTTACAAGCCCTTCATTAATTGCTTCAAATCTTTCTTTCAACCAACTCTTTTTTTTTTGTGCATGTAACATTTTTATTTAGATTCTATTAAGAAAACAAATCTTAGACTTGGAGGAGGCATTAGTCCTCAAGTTCGAATTCAGGTCGTTCATATATATATATATGCAATTCAAAAGCAATCACCCAGATACCTCCCTCTTTCTCCCCCCCCCCCCCCCCCACCCCTTCCCAACTGGTCCAGACAAACGATAGGATCATAGCGTAGTGAGAAATCTAAAAGCATGAAATTGCGCTAAACAAATACAATTGGTAAAAATATTTGTAATCGCACAGATTTATTACTGTTAGTCTAGATCTAATAGAAATTTAAGTACCAGGTGACCGAGCCTCGCTCGGATGAATAATTTAAGGAAGATTATATACCCAAAGTCATTTTGGGAATATTTTTTGTAATTACGAAAATGAACGATCGTGTAAAGACTGTCAATCTGAAGAGTTGCTGTTTCGTTCTGTTAGTTGTCAATATAATTGTGCATGACGATTAGAATAGAAAGTCTCTCCCCAAACGGTATAGAAAATCCCAGCTCACGTCGTCACGTTTTACTTGCATCTTTTACGTAAAACTATTGGGCTATTATTGGCTTGGAAGAAAGTCTTTGCAGTGTAAATTTTAAAATGGTTACGTTCTGACATTTAATAGTTCAATTAGTATATTCATTATGACTTTAGTACGAAGCATCAAGTGATGCAAAATCTCTACGTTATAGGATAAAACGTGCGCCTTGTAACAAAGTAAAATAGCGCATTTTTTTCCTAAGAGACTTAAAAACATCACTTTAGTATTCTAAACAATCGTTATTGTGGGGCATCTCTGTTACTCCGACCACCTTTCAGCTCACTAAAAAAAGAGGTTGCGTTTGGCATGTATTCGTTCCCCATACGGGATAAGTGCCCTGCCCAGCGTGACTCTTGGACTATAAGAAGTTCGTACCATTTCGCAAGAATCGCTGTTTGTAGTGCGCTCTTGCCACCCACCATATGTCCATGAAGGTGTGCAAATATCTTTGGTGAAGGCGTTCAAGAAGTCTTAGTTGCTTTCTATAAAGTGCCCATGTCTCAGGTCCACAAAGAGGGGTTGAGAAAACCACTGCTTGGTTGACACTGATTTTTGTAGACAGGCGGAGCGATTTATTTTGCCACACTCTCGCTTGGAGACGTCCAAAAGCACGACTATCCCTGATCACATATCAACCTCTCTTTAAAGCAATGCGTCAGTGGATACTATGCTTCCCTGGTATGTGAAGTTGTCTACCACGTTAAGGGATGTCTATGCGCGGTGATCTTTGGGCTGAGTAGGTTTTATTGGCTGACTTCTGGAACATGACTTTCATTATACCGAGGTTTATAGGTAAAAAGAGGCGGCAGCATTATGAAAATTTGTTGACCGCGAGCTGGATATCATCAGTGCCGGGCGCAACCTATGCGGTCGCAGTGGGCCCTAAACTTTCATAAGCCCCGCGCTTAATCTAGGTGTAAATTATTAAATTAAACCATTATAACTGGTTCCCGCGGTCTCCTTGTTTTCAGGATTCTGGAAATCTCTTGAAACTCATAAAAATATCCTTAAAATAGACAAAATTGTCATATAGTAAACGACAATCCTACGCGTGATAAAAACAACGTCATCGTCAGCTTTCATTTAATAAAAATGTAATGCAAAGACGAATTGATTTTCTAATACAAAATCTTAATTTTCACTTATTATCCTTATCCCTACACTGCCTGGGCCGAGCGCAATCCATTTCACATAGGACCCCGCAAATGTTAGGGCCGGCCCTGGGTATCATGTTCAGTGTGTGCAAGTAAGGCGTAGAGAAGCTGTGTTATGGCCATTTCCTATGTTTTGATATGGGACAGTAGACTTCGAAGCTTGAACACATTGCTATAATTCAGCAGCAGAATAATAACAAAATAAAAGCTACCTACGAGTCTACGCAATTTAAGTGTAAACATTTATAAAGCCTTAAAACACAATTACTAAACATACATAGACAAATTTAATTCCATTTATTTTTCTTCCATAGTTTCATAATGGATCAATCTACAATAAGATGGTGCGCAAATGTTGAATTAGCCGAATTGATTCATTAATACTTGTTCTTGTTTGCAAAGAAATGTTTTAAGCGGTGTCAAATTTTTTCCCTTTGATGTCATATAGAAAATGTTCATTCATAAAACATTCTGGCCAAAATTGATTTTTCGATAATGAGACATTTTTAAACCGAAATAACGGTCGACCTCGAGTTTTCCCGATATGGCCAATGAGTTGAGAATTTTTTTTTCTCATTAATATACACGTACCTTGCAATTTTATAGAAAATCGTTAGAGCCCTTTTCGTTATAATATATATATATATATATATATATATATATATACAAGAATTGCTCGCTTAAGAGTATAGGATTACATGACTGATCCAAACTAATTGATACAACAACGCTTATTATAAGCTTTGTTTTAGAAACAAAAAAGATTTTTTTTTAATGAACAGTTCTATTCTCTACATGGAAGAATGTCTTTCTGTCCTGTGAAATGCCCCAAATCAATCTACACTCGTTCACTTGTCACTTCAGTGTCGTGTCATCAGTTTTGTGGTATTAAGTATTCATACACGATAGAATGATTGAAGTACCTTTGCACTATGTGTATATAATAGAATGTTACTTCGCGCTTCTTGAATCGTGGACTCCTAGTTCACTGGTTCTCACAAAATATCAATGTAAAATTGTTTCGCGAGTAACGGCGGTTATCATTTTAAAATATTTTTTAGCCCAAGCGTAGTTAAGTAATGAATAGATCTATATTTGGTGCAAATTTTCATTTAAAAAATAATAAATGTATAAAATGTTTCTTCTTTGGTGAGTACCCCTATTAAATTGTTAAAATGGAGTGTCTAGGTTTAATCGTTCAAAAACATTTAAATAAGGTGTTTTTTTTAAGCATCGCATATGGGATAATTTATGACAGGACTAGGAAATATAATGTATAGGAGTGTTGGTAGGTTTATAAAGACTTTGAATCGTGAATAACTAGTTTAATAAGTAGAGTGCCCTTACTTCGCAGATATTCGCGCCTGGAACAGAACAAATTTAGCTTTAAATATTTTTATACTAAAACCCAATAAAAATGTGGATCTATTTCCAATGTTAAGCTTTTGTAGATAGTTTACTTCTAAATATCTTGTATTATTTTGGACTTTAAATAGTTTGCCTAAATGAGTGTAATACAAGTCATTCCACAGTAGGCCTGGTTTGATTTCCTACCATGCCGGTAACCTGCTCTGCTCGGGAAGAGAGGGGAAAGGGAAATAAAAGCCAGTTCTCTGACACAATGGCCAACATTTCTATAAGGATCTCCACTGTATCCAGTGTTTCCCTGTGCAATGAACTGACCAAGAGTTTCATTAGCACGATCTTCTTTTAGGTATCTTGCTTTTCTAATATTCTAAATCGGGGTCGAACATTTCCATCATTGCAATTTAGTGAAGACATTTTTTGTTTTGTACAAAATCCATTCCTTTCTAAACTGCGCCTACCATCTCTTTCTCAATGTCTGTTTGTCTGTCGACCTACTAACATAGACTGGTATACTTTTGTCTGCCCAACAAGAGTAGAACTAAAGGCCCTTTCGACCCTTCCTTGCCTCGAGAAAATGATTTTGACCTTTCTGTCCGAAAGATCTCCCATCTAGATTTCGTCACCTTGAGGCACACCCGGTAACCCGAGGCGAAGTGGAGCTAATCCTTCGTAGTCCGTGAGTAGTGTCTGGAAAAAAAGCCACCGGTAAATTGAGCACCCAAAAAATAAAATGACTGCCGGTAAAATGGGCACTGCGACAAAATGGAATCTTAATATTTAAGACAATTTGAATTTTTTAAAGTACACTATGTCTGAAGGAAGGATTTAATGGTGACGTCATAAGAGTATCAACTACAATGATTTTTAACTGTATTTTCAAAAGAAAAACTAAATATTAAGGTCGCCAATAAATCTGTTCAACTTGTCCCTGGTGGGAATTGTATCTATCTTACATCCTCACCACGCGCAAAGTTTTCAGTAGCTAACTGAATGCGACGGTACCTTCCCTGTTAGTCTGTCCATTTAAATACATACATACCAATCAGCACTTCAGTAGTTGTACAATTCTCAAAGTAAACTATCTTTCCCACAGCTCAAGCAGTCTGTAAGACTTTGTTGGAAGAATCTATCCACGATATTAAGGCTTTTGGATAATTTCTAACAGCGCTCAAGTTTCCCTATGTATCGCGTGTGCATGCAGAATGCCACGAGAACCGTTAATAGTGTGAATGGCTGACTGCACCTGATCGTGCCGAGACATTCTTCTGGGCTTAGAGAGAAGTTTAGTAGATCTAGATAAGACGGAGAAGCGGTTCAAGACAACACAAGTGTGTCGTGTTACGACCCCATTTTGGTCTAGTGTGTTTTCATTGTAGTTCTTATTTTCTTGGTGTGTTCAAGAAATGTTACCATCGGATTATCATCAGCTGTTAAATTAACATGGTAAGATATTTATCAATGTCCTGGTGTTGATTGTCTGGTAATGGGAGTTATTCTATTCTATTAATCTATTTTGTGTTTGTTTAAATGGACCTAAGTATTCTTTAAAACAAAAAAAAGCTATTTCACAAATTTCGAACGATTCACGATTCACAAGTACGACAATAAAATGCTATAGATGGACATGTCAGGAAACAAAAACTCAAGTTAAAATAAACATAGGCACTTTTAGAACTTTAGACTAGATTGTGCTATAAATGGACACTGTTCATGTGACTAGTTAATTCCCTATAAACAAACGTGGGCACTGTTCATGTGACTAGTTTATTCCCTATAAACAAATGTGGCCATTGTTCATGTGACTAGTTTATTCCCTATGAACAAACGTAGGCACTGTTCATATGACTAGTTTGTTCCCTATGAACAAACATGGGCACTGTTCATGTGTCTAGTTTATTCCCTACAAACAAATGTGGGCATTGTTCATGTGACTAGTTTATTCCCAATGAACAAAAAGTGGGCACTGTTTATGTGGCTAGTTTATTCCCAATGAACAAAAAGTGGGCACTGTTTATGTGGCTAGTTTATTCCCTATGAACAAACAATGGCACTGTTCATGTGACTAGTTTATTCCCAATGAATAAACAGTGGGCACTGTTCATGTGTCTAGTTTATTCCCTACAAACAAATGTGGGCACTGTTCATGTGACTAGTTTATTCCCAATGAACAAAAAGTGGGCACTGTTTATGTGGCTAGTTTATTCCCTATAAACAAAAGTGGGCTCCTTATGTGACTTGTTTATTCCCTATGAACAAATGTGGGCTTTGTTCATGTGACAAGATTATTTCCTATAAACAAACATAGGCCCTTTTCATGCGACTAGTTTATTCCCTATGAACAAAAAGTGGGCACTGTTCATGTGACTAGTTTATTCCCTATGAACTAATGTGGGCACTGTTCATGTGACTAGTTTATTCCCAATCAACTAATGTGGCCATTTTTCATGTGACTAGTTTATTCCCTATGAACAAACATGGGCACTTCATGTGACTAGTTTATTACCTTTAAACAAACATGGACACTGTTCATGTGGCTAGTTTATTACCTTTAAACAAACATGGGCACTGTTCATGTGACTAGTTTATTCCCTATGAACAAATGTGGGCTTTGTTCATGTGACTAGTTTTTCCCTATAAACAAAAGTGGGCACTGTTCATGTAACTAGTTTATTCCCTATGAACAAATGTGGGCTTTGTTCATGTGACTAGTTTATCCCCTATAAACAAAAGTTAGATCTTCATGTGACTAGTTTATTCCCTATAAATAAATATGGGCTTTGTTCATGTTACTAGTTTATTCCCTATAAATAAATATGGGCTTTGTTCATGTGACTAGTTTATTCCCTATAAATAAATATGGGCTTTGTTCATGTGACCAGTTTATTCCCTATAAACAAATGTGGTCACTGTTTATGTGACTAGTTTCTTCATTATAAACAAATGTGGGCACTGTTCATGTGACCAGTTTATTCCCTACAAAAAATGTGGGCACTGTTCATGTGACTAGTTTAAATATGGGCTTTGTTCATGTGACCAGTTTATTCCCTATAAACAAATGTGGTCACTGTTTATGTGACTAGTTTCTTCATTATAAACAAATGTGGGCACTGTTCATGTGACCAGTTTATTCCCTACAAAAAATGTGGGCACTGTTCATGTGACTAGTTTATTCCCTATAAACAAAAAGTGGGCACTGTTCATGTGGCTAATTTATTCCCAATGAACAAACAGTGGGCACTGTTCATGTTACTACTTTATTTCCTATAAACAAATGTGGGCACTTTTATGTGACTAGTTTATTCCTTAAAAACAAACATGGGCACTGTTCATGTAACTAGTTTATTCCCTTTAAACAAAAGTGGGCTCTTCATGTGACTAGTTTATTCCCTATAAATAAATATGGGCTTTGTTCATGTGACCAGTTTATTCCCTATAAACAAACATGGGCCCTTTTCATGTAACTAGTTTATTCCCTATGAACAATAATGGGCACTGTTCATGTGACTAGTTTTTTCCATAAAAACAAATGTGGGCACAGTTCACGTGACCAGTTTATTCCCTACAATTAAATGTTTGCACAGTTCATGTGACTAGTTTATTACCAATGAACAAATATGGGCACTGTTCATGTGAAAAGTTTATTCCCAATGAACAAACAGTGGGCACTGTTCATGTGACTAGTTTATTCCCTATGAACTAATGTGGGCACTGTTCATGTGACTAATTTATTCCCTAAAACAAATGTGGCCATTGTTCATGTGACTAGTTTATTCTTTATGAACAAACATGGGCACTTCATGTGACTAGTTAATTACCTATTAACAGACATGGGCACTTCATGTGACTAGTTAATTACCTATGAACAGACATGGGCACTGTTCATGTGGCTAGTTTATTCCCTTTAAACAAACATGGGCACTGTTCATGTGACTAATTTATTCCCTATGAACAAATGTGGGCTTTGTTCATGTGACTAGTTTATTCTCTATAAACAAAAGTGGGCACTGTTCATGTGACTAGTTTATTCCCTTTAAACAAAAGTGGGCACTGTTCATGTAACTAGTTTATTCCCTATAAACAAAAGTGGGCTCCTTATGTGACTTGTTTATTCCCTATGAACAAATGTGGGCTTTGTTCATGTGACAAGATTATTTCCTATAAACAAACATAGGCCCTTTTCATGCGACTAGTTTATTCCCTATGAACAAAAAGTGGGCACTGTTCATGTGACTAGTTTATTCCCTATGAACTAATGTGGGCACTGTTCATGTGACTAGTTTATTCCCAATCAACTAATGTGGCCATTTTTCATGTGACTAGTTTATTCCCTATGAACAAACATGGGCACTTCATGTGACTAGTTTATTACCTTTAAACAAACATGGACACTGTTCATGTGGCTAGTTTATTACCTTTAAACAAACATGGGCACTGTTCATGTGACTAGTTTATTCCCTATGAACAAATGTGGGCTTTGTTCATGTGACTAGTTTTTCCCTATAAACAAAAGTGGGCACTGTTCATGTAACTAGTTTATTCCCTTTAAACAAAAGTGGGCTCTTCATGTGACTAGTTTATTACCTATAAATGAATATGGGCTTTGTTCATGTGACCAGTTTATTCCCTATAAACAAACATGGGCCCTTTTCATGTGACTAGTTTATTCCCTATGAACAATAATGGGCACTGTTCATGTGACTAGTTTTTTCCATAAAAACAAACATGGACACTGTTCATGTGACCAGTTTATTCCCTACAAACAAATGTGGGCACAGTTCACGTGACCAGTTTATTCCCTACAATTAAATGTTTGCACAGTTCATGTGACTAGTTTATTCCCAATGAACAAATATGGGCACTGTTCATGTGAAAAGTTTATTCCCAATGAACAAACAGTGGGCACTGTTCATGTGACTAGTTTATTCCCTATGAACTAATGTGGGCACTGTTCATGTGACTAATTTATTCCCTAAAACAAATGTGGCCATTGTTCATGTGACTAGTTTATTCTTTATGAACAAACATGGGCACTTCATGTGACTAGTTAATTACCTATTAACAGACATGGGCACTTCATGTGACTAGTTAATTACCTATGAACAGACATGGGCACTGTTCATGTGGCTAGTTTATTCCCTTTAAACAAACATGGGCACTGTTCATGTGACTAATTTATTCCCTATGAACAAATGTGGGCTTTGTTCATGTGACTAGTTTATTCCCTATAAACAAAAGTGGGCACTGTTCATGTGACTAGTTTATTCCCTTTAAACAAAAGTGGGCACTGTTCATGTAACTAGTTTATTCCCTATAAACAAAAGTGGGCTCCTTATGTGACTTGTTTATTCCCTATAAATAAATATGGGCTTTGTTCATGTGACAAGATTATTTCCTGTAAACAAACATAGGCCCTTTTCATGCGACTAGTTTATTCCCTATGAACAAAAAGTGGGCACTGTTCATGTGACTAGTTTATTCCCTATGAACTAATGTGGACACTGTTCATGTGACTAGTTTATTCCCTAAAAACAAAATGTGACCTTTGTTCATGTGACCAGTTTATTCCCTATAAACAAATGTGGTCACTGTTTATGTGACTAGTTTCTTCATTATAAACAAATGTGGGCACTGTTCATGTGACCAGTTTATTCCCTACAAAAAATGTGGGCACTGTTCATGTGACTAGTTTATTCCCTATAAACAAAAAGTGGGCACTGTTCATGTGGCTAATTTATTCCCAATGAACAAACAGTGGGCACTGTTCATGTTACTACTTTATTTCCTATAAACAAATGTGGGCACTTTTATGTGACTAGTTTATTCCTTAAAAACAAACATGGGCACTGTTCATGTAACTAGTTTATTCCCTTTAAACAAAAGTGGGCTCTTCATGTGACTAGTTTATTCCCTATAAATAAATATGGGCTTTGTTCATGTGACCAGTTTATTCCCTATAAACAAACATGGGCCCTTTTCATGTGACTAGTTTATTCCCTATGAACAATAATGGGCACTGTTCATGTGACTAGTTTTTTCCATAAAAACAAATGTGGGCACAGTTCACGTGACCAGTTTATTCCCTACAATTAAATGTTTGCACAGTTCATGTGACTAGTTTATTACCAATGAACAAATATGGGCACTGTTCATGTGAAAAGTTTATTCCCAATGAACAAACAGTGGGCACTGTTCATGTGACTAGTTTATTCCCTATGAACTAATGTGGGCACTGTTCATGTGACTAATTTATTCCCTAAAACAAATGTGGCCATTGTTCATGTGACTAGTTTATTCTTTATGAACAAACATGGGCACTTCATGTGAC